AAGATTTTCCAGGCAGCATCCATTTCTACTGTCGGCCTTCTGTCAGGCTGTCTGGGCTGTCATTCAGTGAAATTGCAAAAAATGAGTTAAGGTTTCAAAATGCCAGATGTTTGGTCATGCTCTTCCTTTACAGTCATTTAAATCAGATGACAAAGATGGTGTCAGAGTAACTCGTGATCTTCGTTGGGTGTTTGGTGCATCCACAGATTCAGTGTATTCTCATTATCAGTTCGTACGAAATGTTATGCACCGTAATTTCGTATGTTTTGGACATTTTTTTCGTGGTATTTCGTGGTATTTTTATGTCTTGCCTCGAGACAAGATATCCTTGCGCATGCGCATCTTACGCACCATTCAATAACATAGAATTTAACATACAATTAACCCTAACCCTAAGATACAAAACAGCAAGCAACCTAGAGAGCCATCAAGAAGTAATTATTGCACTGTTTTTCCCAGTTTTACGTCCCTCGGCGGATCTGCTTTTTTCGTCTGTCTGGCTGCGCATGCGCACTGATTTGTTTTTTCAAGGAAAAACGTCCAAAACGTACGAAATACTGTGCATAACTTTTCGTAGGATTTCATACGAACTGATAATGAGAATATGTTGACAGATTCTACAGTGTGACAGTTTATCTGATTAATAAGGGCTGCTTTTGGTTTTCATTTCATGGCTAACAAAAAAAAAAACAACAACAAAAAAATATAGATGGAGGAACTCATCACCGATTGCTTGGAATCTTTCCCTTTTCTTCAATTGGCTCTGATTGGTGATTGAAATAGAATTTCTAAAACCAACCAAAGTTTAATTTAAACATACATCAACTAAACAGCATGTACTTTCAAACATAGGAGAAATTTGCATCTATTGTGGTTCATTTTGTTAGACTTAAGCCGGGCATACACTGTGCGATATTTTCAATTGTTGTGTGCAGCTACAGCGACGTAACCGCAGGGTTTAATAGCTCACAGCTAACAATAAATGTTCTCACACTGTGCGACCCGAAACTCTGATGCAATCTACCTGCTCAATCTGCACGTCCAAAAACAACAGAATCAGAAATACTTTAATAATCCCAGTGGGAAATTACTTTTGTTACACGCTCCAGTTACAGTTTTATATAATATATACACACATCCAACTATACAATATAATAAAGACTAAAAAAAATAAGAATAAAGAGATAATATATACACATATAGCTCTTCTGTATATATATTTACGTATATCTATGCATATGTAAAAACTAAATCCAAGTAAAGTGAAAATCCAAGTAAAGTGATAAATCCAAGTAAAGTGATACGTGGCGTGCAAAAATTAGTGCATAAATGTCAATTACGTTATAGAGGTTAAATCTGTCAGACTCCGAGAGATGGAGCTGGTCGGTCTCGTAAATCTGGAAGAAGAAGAACTCCCTTGTTTGCGCATGCGCAGTGCTCGAGGTTCTGGTAAATCGGCTCGTAGCTCTGCTTCAACAGCACGATTTGTCCACGAACGCCTCACGACGGCCGACTGAATTTCAAACATGTTTGATTGTCTCCTGACCTTACGATTCCTGATCGCGAGCTGGTCTTGAGAGGCTCATAGCCCCTCGTTACTCCCTGTACACTACATGACACAGGACGTACGATCAGGCTGAAAGTCGGCCCAATCGAAAAAATTCTTGCATGACTGGAGAATCATACCGAAAAAAAACAACAAAAAAACAAAAATTGTTCATGTTGAAGTTAAATGTTGTTCTACACGCTTCTGACTTGGAAGATATTCGTCTTTGTGAGTATTGCTTTGCTTAGAAAGCACATGAATATGTGTTGAAGTTATTTTGTGCAAAGAGTATAAGAAATGTCTCAGATACATTTGTGTTAAAGTTAAGCTAACTAAGTGTAGAATGTGCTGAGGATGTTCAGATACGAATATTAGTCAGTGATTAGTTTTTTCTTCTGTGTATTTCAGTTAAAAAAAGAAATCAAAACCAGATTTTTGAATAAAGGTTCTTCAAAGAATGCAAGAAAAGCAAAAAGGGTAAAAAATCTTACAGTGTATGCCCGACTTTAGAATACCACCATAGGTGCAGTTAAAATAAATGTTGTTTCCCACCAGTATTATTCAGTGTTTTGTGAAGTGTGGAACTATAAAGATGTATTGTGACCTTATGACCCCTCCTAGAGCTGGTCATGAAGAAGAAAACATGGTAACTGCAAAGATTTAAAGATCATCCAGAAAACTGTTATCATTGCACCTCTACTTTAAAGCCTTTAGTTTAATAAAATCAGATGAAGATAACTGCATAGATTTTCTGCATATATGGAATTTTTCTTTTGTAAAAACGAGTCTGTAAAAGAATCTGCTGAACATTTAATTTTCTATTGGGTTTCATACACCTAGAAATAAGATGAACAAGTAGAAATAAAATGAGTTTCTATTCGTATCTCCATGTCAGATTGTTTTTAAACCAGTAATATCAGCTTAATTCAAAAAGAATGCAAAATAAATGGCTTGTAGAGAGCCAAATTTGTGGGCACTAAGGTTTTCTGTGCGTATTTAAATAATTTATAATTATTTTACATTAATTGTATTTCTTAACTATGTTTTTTTTTACGTAATTGGTATTGTAATTTTATCTTGTGGTTTTATACTTGTGTTTATTTTTAAGGTTGCCTTTTTTAAACCTGGCTGGGGGACTACCGATGAAAATTAGCACTCCTTAGCTAACTCGGGTATATTTACATTGTTTTAATGTTGATTAATGTACACTGTCCCCTTTCAAGTAAACAATAAATAAAAATGAAAACAGCCAGTAATAGTAAGCTGATCTGTTTCTCTATTCAGAAATGTTTCTGGACATAAAAAACCCCCACAGACAATCCTGGTATGGAAACGGATCCCCTATGCCTCTCCTGTTACGGTAACATTGTTTTAAAATTAGAGTTGGAATCTACGACGGCATCTCTATACACCTATATCTATAGTGCATTGCAGGACAGATAAAATAAATCCCACTGATGGAGATTAAAGGGATTTTATATTTCATTGATACACAGATTATTCTCCAGCTTGTTAGACATGTTGTCATCTGAGAGCAGGAGAGCAGCAAGGTGAAATATGATGCCATAATATGAAGTTAATATGTGATCGTAGGTTTGGGAGCAGGACCACGCCCAAAATTACTCCTCCAGTTTCTCAAGCAGACTATTTTTACTCTACTCTTCCATTCTTTTCAGTCTGTTGCGTTTCATTAACCCCACCCCCCCTTAACCTCTACCCTTTTCCCCTCATCCGTCTTTATTCCATCGCCTCTTCCCCTTTTCATCCACCTTCCCCTCCCTTCGACTCTTTCATCTTTCATTCCATCATAATCTCCTTTTATCTTTCCCTCCATCACATAACTTTTCTCTCTTCTTTGTTGCGGCTTCATTCTGGGGCCTCCTATTCTGGCTCAGGAACAGAAATGGAACTGAATTCCCTAAAGATGATTTCGCAGGTCCTTCAGTTTTTTCCCCAGATGTTGCAACCAAGTTCACCCTTCATCCCTACATCACTTTCTTACAACATTTTATAATTCCCATTTTTGTGGCGTTGTCCTTCCTCATGAAGCACATGTTAAATGAAGAAAAACAAATAGTTTTCTTCGTCATCATGCTTCCTTATCCTTCCATTAAGCTTGGTTCTCATACCTACTTAGTCTCTTTGTTCAAAATATTCAGGTAATTCCACAGATGGGTTGTTTTAATGGGGGAGCACTTAAAGCTATGGATAAACAGACAATGCATTATTCATTAATGCCAGTCAAGAGCAAACAGGAGGGCAAGTGAAATGCGCTTTTAGAGTCTGTAACATCTGGAGCTCTGCAGCAGCTGCTTTGGAGTGAAAATTGGAAGGAAACATGAAACCCTTCAAATCTCCAACACCAGGAGAAAGACGCGGTTCTTATGTTTTTAAATGTGATGGCTGACTCTGTGATAAGGACAGCAGGGCATTAATAATTAGCACTTCTTCTGACGAACACACACCTCTGCTCTTCTTTAGGTTTCTTTTCTAGGAGGAAAAAGGAACATCGAGCATTTCCTGGTTGGCAGGAAAACCCGAACCCTTCTGCCAAATTTGAGTTTCAAACAGGAAGGTGACTGTGGTTTGTCTTTTTATCCAGACATGCTTTTTTTTTTTTATCCGACTGTTTTCAGAGGGTAACGGAGATTCTTCCTCACCGGCTAATTTTAGATCATGTAAACTGAATGAAGCAATTCTCCCGCCTGCTTAGATGTGCAACTAACCCCTCATGTGACAACTGTGTGCAACTCTGATCATTTTGTTACCTTGATAACAAAGAAAGTTCCCCTTAAGTTAGAGGAAACTGCAAAGAATGTGATGAAGATGGTGGTGGTTATGATTCACCATCTTCTTTCTGTCTGACTCGGGTTGCTCATCAGAGCTGCAGAAGAAACGGCATCTTCCACAGCCAAAAGCTGCCAGAAAAGCAAATCCCCCCTGTAATTGACATTTATGCACTTTTTTTGGCACGCCACGTATCACTTTACTTGGATTTATCACTTTAGTTGGATATTCACTTTATTTGAAGTTAGTTTTTACATATGAATAGATATACGTACATACATACACTAGAAAAACCATCTAGAAATAAGTAAAAATTTCTTACATTTAGTGCATTTATCCTTAATTCGAGTAGGTAAATGAGAAAGTTTGCCAATGGATTGAGTATTTTTACTCTTAAAATAAGATCATTAGATAATATGCACTTGAAATAAGACAATGCAATTGTGTTTTCTTATTTTAAGTGTAAATTGTCTTGTTCCATTGGCAAAATGTCTCTTTTACCTTCTTAATCCAAGAACAAATGCACTTATTTTAAGAAAAAATTACTTAACTAGATTGTGTTTTTTTCCAGTGTATATACAGATATATATATATATATATATATATATATATATATATAAAACTGTAGCTGGAGCGTGTACACTGGAGAAAATTTAAATCTAGATAAGTAATTTTTTCTTAAAATAAGTGCATTTATTCTTGAATTGAGGAGGAAAAAGGGACATTTTGCCAATGGAACAAGACAACTTCCACTTAAAATAAGGAAACACAATTGCATTGTCTTATTTCAAGTGCACATTATCTAATTATCTCATTTTAAGAGTAAAAATAATCATTCCACTGGCAAAGTATCTAATTTACCTACTAAAATTAAGGGTAAATACAATTAATTTAGGAAATTTTAACTTATTTCTAGATCGTTTTTCCAGTGTAACCCTCTGGGATTATTACACTGGAAAAATTATCTAGAAACAAGTAAAAAAATATCTTAAGTTAAGTGTATATACCCTTAATTTAAGTAGGTAAATGAGATAGTTTGCCAATGGAATGAGTATTTTTACTCTAAAAATGAGATAATTAGACAATATGCACTTGAAATAAGACAATTTAATTGTGTTTCCTTATTTTAAGTGTAAATTGTCTTGTTCCATTGGCAAAATATTTCTTTTACCTCCTTAATCCAATAAGAAATGCACTTGTTTTAAGAAAAATTCTGATTTTTTTCCCAGTATTTCTGATTCTGAAACCCAGGAACAACACACACTCAGTCCTTCCTGGATAAACACCATGCATCCCTGCAGCAATAAAAGCAAGTAAAACAAACATTATGCCCTGTTAAACTACACACTGGAGTGTTCAAGCACTGCTGGCTTCATTCAGGGTTCATTCTAGACGACTGACATCAGCGGCCGGCTGCAGCAGCTGCACCCATGTGAGAAAAACTTAGTTACCTCAATACGTTTGTGTCTGCAAAAGTTCTTATGACATAATTTGTTTGAAATAAAAGCTATTTATCTTTAATCTCCAGCTGGAGTCTCTGTGCATAAATATCTCCTGCTGTAGCTGCTGTTGCTTTTACAGTATGATCTCTGCAAACCAACTCTGGACACACTGATCTGACTATTGGCACACCCCCCCCTCAACATGCCATGTCCTGTGGCCCCCTCCCCACACATACACAAATCCAACCACCCCGTCATGGACAACTTTGGATACTCTCTGCAGCCCCACCCAGGTCATTCACAGCTCGCTGCACGCTTGTCACTAAGTACTCTCCAACATGAGGCCTTATTATAGAATCACACCATGACTATTTATACAACGGGAGCCAATCTGCAAGCGGCACTGCCGCATTCTCTACCCTAGATGGCACCAGAGTCACAGAGGCGCTACGACACACCCACCTCTGCAGTAGGACAGAAGTTCCTCTCACCTCACCAAAGATTTTAAACCATGAAAAACATGCAGATACAGAACTTGGCGGCTAAATGTAGAGAAACATGCAGCTGTCCGACCTCCAGTTGATGCTCCGCTGCAGACGTATCCCATAGCGTCCAACGTACAGTTTTTCCAGAGGTCTGCGGTGCCATCTTCTGCTGTTGTCCATACCTGCAGGAGGATTATATGTGAATCATTTCCATACCAAGGGTGTCACATCAGTTAGCTTTTAAACATGGTACACTAAAAGACACAAGAAATAATAATGAAAGCTGCAGTTTTCTGGGTACAAAGCTTAAGTGAACAGATTACATGAATTATAACTCACTTGATACCATTGAAGTTGATTTTTGCATTTTCTAAAACAACAATTTAAAAATCCTCCTGTTTTTCTTCAACAGTTCTTGAGTTAAGAGTCACGTTGTGTCAAACAGGGCTTATAATCCCACATATGGAATAAGAATCAACTGGTCGAAATAAAGGTCAGAAGAAAGTCCTTAGAAAATAGAATGGATTTAATTAAGTAAATATTTATTTTATGGAGATTTATCTACATAATGCAGGAAAATATAAAGCAAATAAAACAGCACACCTGGGTATTAAAATGTTACTTTCCATGTATGATTAAGTGCATACAGAACTAACCTGAAGCTTCAAAAAAATAATTTATTCACATTTCAACTCGCATTTTTACCCATTTATTTAAACAATTTAATTTTTTTACAGTTTTTTTAAGGAAACTGAAGATAAAAATGTTAATATAACTGAATGTTTAAAAAGCAGACTGATAAAAATTGAGTCTGTTAACGGTCTGTGCTTTGACTCACTGAGTCCTGCAGAACATCACAGATTATGAACCCAAATCAACTCCCAGTGACCTCCTGCTGGTAATAATTATTTATTAGAGTAACATTAGAATAACTACTAGACTAGATGTCCACCAGGTTGATATACATTTACAGAGCAAATACCAAATGTTTCTTTGTAGACAGAACTTTTCTATTTTGAAACTGTTGTGTTAAAATGGGTGCCATGTTTCATCCTTTGAGGCAAATCACAAATGGCTTTTAAAATGATTAGACTAATTCTGTGTTGCTGCATTTCTTAAGATAATCTCAGCAGCTGCAGGTTTACTCACACTGACGATTGTTGAGACAAACAGGAGAACAAGAGCAGCAATGTGCAGGAAGACGATTCCCAGCAGCAGGATCAGCATCTTCTCAGATTATCTGAGGATAGAGAAAATAGCATCAAGTCTTTTAGGCTGGAGGAGCTGGTTGTGTGGAGATTTTAACCTTCTGGGTGTGTCTGAAGCTTTTGCAGATAGAGGAGAAACTTTTACCTCACTTTAAAGATAAATTGAATTACTACACTAATGTGGGTAAAAACTGTACCTCGCCCTGAGCCATCTAACCACCCATTTCAATAACATTTTAAACATTAAAGCTCATCTAAACGATTAAAAAATTACTTTAAATTGAATATATCTGATTTTTTTCTTCTTTTTCTAAGAAAATTGTTGCATTTTAAAACAGTTGAATGGATCTAATATTGAGCAAAACTGGGATATTTGCATTAATGGGGATTGATCTGGGGAGGTAGAAGAACCAAAATGTTTTAACTATTAAATTAATCTTTCCGGTTCCAGCTCGGTCCAGTCCGTGCGCGCTCCAGCAAACACCAAGGCGCGTTTCCGCCTGAATCTAAGAGTTCATCAGGAGTTTAGAGGAAAGTGAATATAGTTTACTTACAGGCGAGAGGCTCGTATCCCAGAAAAGAAGCAAAAAGCAAGAAGCGATGCAAGTTTTCCTCCTGATAGAGTCCAACAGCGGATCTCCTCCTTCCTGTAAAGTCCTCCTCTGACTAGATTGATCCCAGCGCTGACGTCCTGTTATAAAGTGTCTCATTATGGAAGAACAACGCCCCGCGTGCGCAGCTGCGTCACAGAGTGACCTCCTGGACCGTGGGCAGGGATTTCTAATATTTACAAACGGTGCGTAATTACGCGGTTGCTGTGGATACCGAGCTACTGTAAATGTGACCAGTGGCTCATTGTTTGGCCGTCCTGGTAACCAAAGGGAACTACTTGCTTTCTAGGATTGTTTGCAGTGTTTTTGCTCTGCATGTTAGAAAAAATAAAGACATTTTAATTGTATTCATAAAGCATTTCTATTGCAAGTTAGTAAAGAAAACTACGGAGAAGGATTAGGGCCACTGAAAAAAATAAAATAAAAAAGGTTAACTGATTTTTAAATTTTATTTCAGTTTAGTATGGGGGGAAAAGTCAGAATTCTGACTTTAATCTAAAATTCTAACTTTTTTCTCAGAATTCTGACTTTAATCTCAGAATTCTGACTTTAATCTCAGAATTCTGACTTTATCTCAAAATTCTAAGTTTTTTCTCAGAAT